ATGCTGTCGAAGCCAGTGCCTGTTAGTCCAAGAGATCAAGGTGGGACCTATGGATTAATCCCTGATTCCCCCAATAGGATGTTGTTCCCCGATTTGTTTTGTTGTGGAGTTTTTTTTTTTAATTGGGGAGCACGGATGTCAATTACATGTTGCCCTTGTTTGACTTTTTGCAAACCTGCTCGCGGCAAGCAGGAGCCAACAAAACGATGAAACAACTCTGCTCACGCTCAAACAGTTGTGGTGCGATGGCGTACTCAGTCAGAGCAAACCGACCTCCAAACCGCAAAGGTGTTCCCTCCCTTTTTGACCCAGAGTCAAAGTCCTGCCTTTTTATCCCAGGTTCCATGGGCGAGATTTGGCATTGAAAACCGCTCGCTTTTTTGTGTTCGATCTTTCGGTGTTTTTTGCTCTCGGCCCTACGAAGTAGACTGCCCGCGGGTCTAACACTTTTTCTTTTGGATGCTATGCACATGCGCAAGCGATCGGAGCCAATTCGCTTATTAGAAGCCGTTGCACGTTGCAAGGGTCCTTACTTGTTGGTTCATTAATTTTTAAGAGCCGGAACCACCTTGAAAGTGGTGGTTTCCCAACTCCCCAACGAATTTTGTCCGCAGGGCCATCTTTATTGGTGGGTTTTCCCATGGTTGGTTTTTGGAGGGACCTTCCTAGGGAGTTCAACTCACTCGCGTTTCGCGCAATCCCCTAATCACAATTCATGCCCATGTGGGTTTGTCCCTTTTTTGAGGACACCCCCCAACCCAAAAAAACAAGGGAGGATATGGTGTCCCTTTGGTTTCCCCTTGAACACCAACCCCAAAACGGGTAGCGAGGTTCGAACGAAACGTGACGCAGGCCACAGAGTGGCAGAAGGTCGCGCAGCTCCTGGAAGAGCTCGGCCAGGTTTGTCCGCTGGGTCGCTCCGGGGTTTATTTGCGGGGGGTTTTGTTGGCCCCCGAGGTTCGTGCGATAGGTGGGGAATGTGGTGGAACGAACCGGTTTTGGGGGGAATCCCGAAGAAAGGAAAGCAACTCGGATGGATGGCTTATTTTCGCAATGAACCGGTTTTGGGGGGATTCCTGAAGAAAGGAAACCAACTCGGATAGATGGCTTATTTTCGCAATGAACCGGTTTTGCGGATTCCCGAAGAAGGGAAACCAACTTGGATGGATGGCTTATTTTCGCAATGAACCGGTTTTGCGGATTCCCGAAGAAGGGAAACCAACTCGGATGGATGGCTTATTTTCGTAATGAACCGGTTTTGGGGGGATTCCCGAAGAAAGGAAACCAACTCGGATGGATGGCTTAGTTTCGCAATGAACCGGTTTTGGGGATTCCGGAAGAAGGGAAACCAACTCGGATGGATGGCTTATTTTCGTAATGAACCGGTTTTGGGGATTCCCGAAGAAGGGAAACCAACTCGGATGGATGGCTTATTTTCGTAATGAACCGGTTTTGGGGGGATTCCTGAAGAAAGGAAACCAACTCGGATGGATGGCTTATTTTCGTAATGAACCGGTTTTGGGGGGATTCCCGAAGAAAGGAAACCAACTCGGATGGATGGCTTATTTTCGTAATGAACCGGTTTTGGGGATTCGCGAACAAAGGACACCAAATCGGATGGATGGCCTATTTTCGGGTCATTCCGTTTCTCGTTCCCTGCCTATGGCACCAGCATGTCCAAACGAAGCCGAGCATTTCCTTGGGGGCCAGCTATGGCATCTCTGGGTTTGAGGGGCACCCTGGTTTGGGGTTGGTTTAAAGGGAGATTATCGGAGAACCACTCTCCTAATTGGAGCAGACCCATGAGAGGCGCTCTGTTTCGAAGATTGTGCGGCTTGCATGTGAAAGACCTCCCTCGATGTTTGCATGTATTGGCATGCCCTCTAGCTTTTGTGTTGTGGAGGGGTATTTATTTTAGGAATTTTTTTCGTTTTTTTTTGGGAATTTTTTTCGCTTCTGGCTTCTTGGCTTCTTGGCTTCTTGGCTTCTTGGCTTCTTGGCTTCTCGGCTTCTTGGCTTCTTGGCTTCTTGGCTTCTTGGCTTCTCGGCTTCTCGGCTTCTTGGCTTCTTGGCTTTTAGGCTTCTTGGCTTCTTGGCTTTTCGGCTTCCTGGCTTTTTGGCTTCTCGGCTTCTCGGCTTCTGGGCTTCTTGGCTTTTTGGCTTCTTGGCTTCTTGGCTTCTTGGCTTCTTGGCTTCTTGGCTTTTCGGCTTTTCGGCTTCTTGGCTTCTCGGCTTCTGGGCTTCTAGGCTTTTTGCTCGTTTATGCGGCTTTTGGTGGCTTTTTTGCTTTTCGCATCCTCTGCATTCCCAGTTCCTCTTCGGCAGGTGGCGTTTTTCCGACATCATGGGGGGGGCTGCCGCCCCCCCCAACCCCCCCGCTACGTTTTAGATTTTCTGCAGAGATTTAATTAGTTGCACCCCTAGTTGAATCATCAATTCTTCGAACATCATGGGGGGGTTGCACCCCTAGTTGAATCATCAATTCTTCAACCATCATGGGGGGGGGCTGCCGCCCCCCCCAACCCCCCCGCTACTTTTTAGACTTTTTGCAGAGATTTAATTGCACCCCTATTCAAATCATCACTTCTGCAAACAACATCGTGGGGGGGGCTGCCGCCCCCCCCAACCCCCCCGCTGCCTTTTATATTTTTTTACAGGGATTGACATGCCCTCCCACTTGAATCATCATTTCTTTCACCCCGTCACACGATTTGTGGGTGATGCTAGGGATGTTGGTGGGACATGCGGGGGATGTTGACGGGCTAGTGTAAAATGTGTCAATTTTGCGAGAACATGCTACACTTTACTGGCCCGGCAGAGATTGAATTGCACCCCTGTTTGAATTATCACTTTTTCGAGCATCCAATTTCGCGAGAAAATGCTGCAAAATACGACATTTGAGGTAATCTGTGTAGTCCGTGTATGTCTGTATGTATGCATTTCTTCGAACATCATAGGGGAAGCCACCCCCGCCAACCTTACCGCTGCCTTTTAAATTCTATCACACCCTTTCTTGAATCATTGCATCCCTACTTGAATCACCACTTCTTCCGACATCATGGGGGGGCTGCCGCCCCCCCCCCAACCCCCCCGCTACGTTTTAGATTTTCTACAGAGATTTAATTAATTGCACCCCTAATTGAATCATCAATTCTTCGAACATCATGGGGGGGCTGCCGCCCCCCCCCAACCCCCCCGCTACTTTTTAGACTTTTTGCAGAGATTTAATTGCACCCCTGTTCGAATCATCACTACCCCGCTCTGTTTTTCTTAATTGTTTTTTTTTTTTGTATTTTTTTGCTGGGATTGAAATGCCCTCCTGTTTGAAGCGTTATTGTTTTGACCCCGTCAACCCGCCAGCTACATTTTTGGATTTTGTTACCCACGATTTGTTGGTGATGCTAGGGATGTTGGTCAGACATGCGGGGGATGTTGAAAACGATGCTGGGGATGTTGACGAGCTAGTGTAAATGCGTCAATTTCGCGAGAAAATGCTGTAAAATACAACATTTTGCTGGCCCGGACGAAAAACGAAAAAAAATCAAAAAAAAAAAACGAAAAAAAATCCCAAAATAAATCCGCACCCTTGTGTTGTTGGCCCCCATGTCAGCAGGGAGGGCCATTTTTTTAGGACAGTTTTCTCGTTTTTTTCAGGGTGGGTGGCTTTTTGGGCTTGTGAACCAAGAAAGCCATGATGTGGACGGGGGGCTCGCATCGCTCGTTTTTGTTGGGCGTGCCTTGTGGGGGACCCTCAAAACTCGGGCAGGACCAGCCCTCCGCCTCCGTCTACCACAACGCGCTGAGGGCGCTGGTGACGGCCTCTTGCGAGAGCCAGGCAGAGAGTGACCTGGGCTCATTGTGTCGGGTTCTCCCCAACATTTCCCCACCCATTTGCAGAGGAACCTGATTTTGGGGACCCCTCTTTAAATTCCATGTTAGTTGCCAGGGGTTGTCAAAGTCAGCAGAGTACTTCGACCAAAGAATGAGGTTAACAGGGGTGAACCCCAGCAACTTGCGCTGGGCAGGATGAATGTTGAAAAGACTCCTTTGGATGCATGGGAGGTATTCCGTAAGGGTTTTTTGTAGCCCTAAACCACGCAGGGGAAAGCTGGGTAGCCTGTGTATCACATCAAAAGGGGGTTATATTCTCCCGCTTTGTCTTGGGAACTGACCTCTGTACGTATGTTGGTATTTACAGGGGAATCGTTGGGGGGTGCAAAATGGATTCGTCCATCCACAGTGTTGGCAGGTGCAAAAGAGAGAGACAGAAGGACACAAACCCTGCACACCGCAAACGCCCAGCACGAACTGGCGCAACAACACACATATATTATATTTGAAAATCCCTGTTGAATTGGGACTCAAACAGGCCAAATACACCCCCGCAACAAAGCAAGCCCAGGCGTATCCAATCCCCAGCAACCCCTGCTGTAGGGGAAAACAAGAAACAGCAGCAGCCACACAAACCAACGTAAAACCTGCCGGAAGGAACCTTCGTGTTCAAAACGCCTTTTCGCGACTCAGGGGACCTTCTTGCTACTTAGGGGACGGGACCTCAGGACTTGTCTCCGTTTAGTTTCGACCGGACCTTTTCTCACAGGCCTCGGGCCTCCTTGAGGAGATGCGGCGGAACCAGGTCCAACCCAACCAGGCGAAAGGGGACGGGGCGCGGAGAACGGGTGGCTTGAGGCTGCCCTTTTTGGAACCGATCCGGAAAAACGGGATCCCTTGACAGAGAATAACTATTTCCGGGCGTCCCTTTTTTGTATTTCACATGAGGGGACTCCATCACTTCTTTTTTTTTGTGTTGGTTGGGTGAGGGGAAACTGTTACAAGGAGTTGCTAATAGCTGATTCCTCCAATTATGATTCAATTTGAATTTAAAGGTGCCGAACTGAGCCAGGTGTGACACCACTTCGTAGGCACTTACTTGTGCGTGCGGCAACAAGCAAATGCGTGCGTGTCTGTAAGGTTTTACTGCGCCCTGCATGTGGACCTGACCTTTGCTTGCCCTGAAGACCGAGGTGCGTTTCGCGCACTCCTTCGTAGGCACTTACTTGTGCTCGCGACACTGGCTGCGACAAGCAGACGCGCGCGTGCGCGTGTCTTCTAGTTGTTCTTGGATGTAGTCTTGTTTGTGCTGGTGTCCTCTGTTGCAGAATGTCCCTGGGCGCGTTTCTTGTAGTTGGTGTTGTATGTAGTCCGGCTCGCGTTTTGTGGTGTGTTGAGAAATTACATGTGCATGCGACGCTAGCAGCAGCAAGCAAACGCGTGCGTTTCTTGCAGTTGCTCTTGCGTTCTTGTACGTACTGGTAGTCTCGTTTGCGTCTTTGTGCCGTGTTGTAGAATGTCGTTTGGCCCACGCTCTGGCCATCCTTAGCATTCTAAATGTTTACGCCTTTATGCTGTCTGCAAAAACTCAACACTCTCCGCGACACCCCCTTGTTTTGAGGCGGGCTCTTTTTGGCAAAAAGCCGCCCCCCGGCAGTGGATACCATGCGCAGTGACAAGCCCTTTTCAAGCCTTGGGAGGAGCACGAGCAAGTAGTGCCATGCTGCCAATAGTTAGTCTCCTTACCGGTCGATCTTCCATGCAACCTGCAGTCTGACATTCGTGTGACGGGCGGCGCAGGTGACCATCATGTTTCAGAGAACTCATGATGGCATTTTTCAGTGGCTTCCAGAGCGCAACTGTTTGTCTCTGGTTTCGGTACTGGGATACAAGCCTGGTTTTTGGACAAATATTGTGGAGAGCCCAATCACGCAGTTTTGTTGGCCCCGTGCGCGACAAACAGTCAACCCGACCAGCTCGACATTTACAGAAACATCCCTGGAAGGAATGCGGGTGTGAGTTTTGGTTTGGGATGTTGTGGCTGGTATCGTTTCGCTTTTCCACAGACATATCCGTCAGGACATGTACAGCCTGGCGATCTCTGCGGCCGTCGGAGAGAGTGCCAAAAAATACGACTGGCGCCGATCGAGCGGTGCAGTGCAGTGGGGAAGCCTCCCCCAGGGAAGCCATGTGTTGCTTTAGTTTCCCTTTGCAACTGCCCAAACATGGACAAGTTTCGCACATTTGACGCAGCATTGGCAGCTCCAAGGGCACAGTGGTCCCTCTGAGGTGACGACTTTGTCATTGGTAGAAAAACTAAAGAACTTGTGAGCATGGTCTTCCACTTGGTTTCCCTCAGGTTTCATGTGAATTGATAGTTAATCAGAGAGAGATGAACTCAAGTCTACGATTTATTCTCCGCTAACTTGCCGGCAACCGACCGGGGCCGTGAATTTGCCAGTGGACCCCTTAGCAAAAGTCAAACGGCCCCCAGTTGGCACCCGTACCTCTGTTTGGGCTGTGTCTTTTGCAACTCCACAGCACTGTAGCGTCGCCGAGCAACGGACAGCATTCACAGTTGGTGGAAGGGCAGATACCCAACCCTCTATTTCCTCGTCGGTTTGTTGCATAGGTAGTTCTAATTACCGCGTGCATTTTACGTGGACATATATATATATAGTCCCGCACCCATGACACACCTTTTTTCCTTGGGGCGGTGCAGCAGATGCTTAGCAGATGTGTTTCACACAGCAGCATGTCGAGCAGAAACTATGCTGATTCGCTCTTTACTCGGCGCTGGTCTCCTCTGCGTCTGCGTTTCTAGCCCAAAAAGGCAAGAATTCCTTCTTTTTTTGCGCACATATTAGATTCTTGGTTTTCCCAAGGAATTCTTGGTTTTTATGAGATCTTGGATTTTTATGTGAAAAGCAAACTTTCCTGCTGTTTTGTTGGTTTTTCAACAAACAACAGGAATTCCCCTGGCTCTTCCCTTGGAGTCGCGACTCGAATCGATCCGGAACTCGGTGTTCGGAGATCAGGATTCGGGAGTGTGAGATCGGGATTGGGGACTCCCGAATAGACTCAGACATTGGGACTAGGGACTCCCGAATCAATCCGGAGCGTGAGCCAAACACCAAGAATTCCATGGGCGTCTTTTTTTTTCAGCAAAAGACACAAATTTCAGGGAAAACCAGAAAAACAATGATTCCTTGGGAAACCAGAAAACTGAGATTTTCAAAGCTACCAGACTTCTTGCAACAAATCTAGCTGACACCCACAACAAAACAAGAACGATCATTTTATGAAAGAAATCACTTGAATAGGCCTGTAGAACTGCTTGTGTGAGACTCCTTCCGAATCTCCTTGCAAGCTCCTTCTAAGGCTCCTTGATTGCAAGTCTCCTTGTTTGGCTCCTTGTGCAATTCCTGGTCAGGCTCTTTAAAGAGCTCCTCATCAAGCTCCGTAGAAAGCTCTTTACAAGACTCCTTCAACAGTTGTTTTCCTTAGTTCGGTTCCTTGTAAAGCTGCTCGTAAAGCTCCTATTCTGAATCTCCTTGCACGGCTCCTTGTAAAGCTGCTTATAAAACTCCTTACAAAGTTCATCATAAACCTCCGTTTAAAGCTCCTCGATCAAGCTCCTTTCAAGTCTGCTTACAGTATGCCAAGTTTGATTCTAATTAAATGTGAATTGTCAGCTTGCATCACATTATAAGGAAAGGCTTCAATTGGCTCCTTTCCGTGAATGGAACTTAATGAGGGACAACTCATGCGCAATTTTTATGTCAACAGACTATGACTTCGGCTCACCTGTCATCTTGTGTCTATGCTAAACACGCGTTATTTGCAAGCCCATTTGTTTGCGCTGACGTGAACGCCAACAATAGTCAAACTATCACGGCCAGCGCGCTCAAATCAAGCAAGGTTGCTGTGTCTGTTTGCGCATGTAGGCAAGTTCCATCATTGCTGGAGCTTTGCGCTGTGACACATGGCATGTATCCTGGACAATCCTTCCTTTCTTGTGGCTTCTTGCAGAAGGTGATGGATCCTGAACACTTGTACTGGAGTTTTTCAGAACTTCAAGATGAAGTTTTGCAGGAAAAGGTGGCACATGCGGGGGCGGGTGTGTGCGTGTGTGTGTGTGAGAGAGCGGGGATATATATATACATATATATATATATACACATCCAAGAAGACACTTGGGAGACAACAAAGAGTATTGCCCATGATTGGTGATGAGGTCGTTGCGCATTTTGCATCCGGCTCTCACACAAGCCGCGCCCACGACACATATCCGCCTTTTCGCAAGGCGGGAGCGGGGGGGGGGGGAGAGGAAATGCTCAGGGGTCCCCCGGACAGAAACGAAGGTCTCAATATTATTAGTAGTAGTATGCTCGAAGAAACATGACTCAATTTGGTCGCAATTTGGTGTTGTCAAAGGATCATAGAGGCTGAAAGGTTGAAACTCAGGTTCGGGGAATGTTCATCGCCGCGAATCCGGGCCCCAGGGTTCGGATGCAACCTGTTTGGCTGCGGATGTTCTATTGCCTGATGGGCAAATTTCTGAAAGCTGAGAGGCACTGACCAGAAAGTCCACGAGCCTTGGAGAAAAAGCGTCCTGGCGGGTAAAACATGACAGCTCACCGAAATTGCAAGGTAAACCTCCCATGTCCATTGATGAGAGAGCGGCTTCACAGGGCGCGGAGGCTCGCTTTGATCTGGTCACTCCCCTAACTCCCCTACTCGAGTTTTCTGACCTGGCAACTAGTCCTCCAAGCGCAGCTTCGCACGCCATATGGTGAATCAGCCAAAAGAGTGATTGAGCTGGGGTTTGTTGCACATCCTCAACTCAAAGCGGTCAAGAGTCAGAGCCTGTCAATCTCAAGAGACTTTGCTTGTCTGTTTCTAAAACATATTTGACCCCGTTTGATACTTGAGACCAGTTTCACCAGTCCCTTTTGAGCAACACCCCCAGCCTCTGAAACAAATCCCACATGATGGGCAATAAGAAAGAACAACACGGACCCCCCAGCGAAAGAAGTGGACTTTTCCAGAAATGGGTGTGGCTCCAAATCCAAGAGCCAGTTACGCAGGTTTTCAGTCTTCGGTTCCATCGAGGTGCGATTTTTTGGGGGCATTCTCCACGTGCATATTGGCGCCATCCCGAGCAGTCGCCAGCCGTCGCCGCCGAGCGCAGGACTCGCCGCTCGCTGTGGTCATGGCCGCCCCGCCGCCGTCGGAAGCCGAGCTCCTGGAGACGAAGGCTCACCTCCACGCGCCCGCCGCGCCGCCCAAGCCCGCCAGCGGGGTGGACCCAGCGGCCGGGGTCTGAGGGGCGGGGCGGGGAGGGGTGCGGTCCCCAAAATGTGGTTACCCACACTAGCTGGGGGTGGGAAGGGAGCCGCTACGGAGCTGGGGGAATCCAAACTCGGTTTTGAAGAGGGAGCTAAGGAACCAGGAGTTCTGCAAGGACATGGTAGATGAACAGGCGAAAGTTCGAAATGTGAAGCGGGTTTGACCATGGATCGCGAAAACTGTGTACTTGCATGTGTCAGGGAATCAACCGCATGCCAGCCATACAAGGCTTAGCTGGACAACGGCTCCTAGAAGGTTTGCCCCCAAGCCATTCCCCCGACCCCCCCCCCGAAAGTAAGCACAGGTTGTAGTGGCCACAACATGAAGGTATCAATGGCGTGTGACTTGCATGGTTGCAGTGCTATCCCAACCTGTACCACAGACCAATTGCCCCGCAGAAACTTGACTCATGCTGCTTTGGGCTGCTTTGTGGTAGGTCTCCCTGTAGCTGGGTTGCTCTTGTGCTTCTGCTTCTTCATCTTCATGCTAAGTGCTTCTGGAAACAAGAAGCTTCGCACCAACTTCTTAGACATTACCCTGTACGATGCGTTGTTTAGCTGCTCAGGGAGCTCACACCGTGGCTTGACAGAACCTACATGTACATATAGCCTAAACCAGCTTGAGCAGCCCCGGAGCTCGTACTGGGCTTGTGACAGATCAGCAGAAAAGGGCCAGCTGGGGATGTCTGCCTGCCCTAGTAAGACATCTACCCTGGTGTTTTCCGTGTTTTTAGACGCAGTGATTCATGCATATATGCACATACAGAAACACCGGTCTTGGGCGTTCCTGTTGGCTGAGGGGCATTGCCTCATTGCAG